GGGGGGGGGGTGGGGGATTTTGAATGTAAATACAAAAGATTTGGTTTATTGGAGAAGAGGCTTAAGTATAAGATACATTAAAGCAGCAAAGAAACAGCAAACTATTTTTTTATGTTCTTCACTCTTCAGTTTAAGATTTTAAAAGTGTCATAGCTTTGAGTTCTAGGGGAGGCACTACCCCCTTGCCCCCGCCCTGTATACGCCCTTGCTTTTCGCAACAAAAATGTGAAAATAAGTTTCACAGTATTTTTATATAATTCAATGTTATTATTTCTATATTTATTTATCAGTTTTTTTCTAACATTCTTCATGAAAGTATAAATTTGGGCCTAAAATGTAGAATTAAATAAGAAATTAGGGGAAATTTAATGCATTTTTGATTTTTAAGTATTGAATAGGTTAAAATATACTGTCCTGCTGATGTCCAATTTTTAATTCTGAAAATGACAAGGAATTGACTTGAAGTTGATTAGTTGCTAGAACTGGTGGATTGTTTTAATGTTAAAAATAAGTCATAAACGATCTGAAATTGATGACAAAAATTTATTTCAAATACTGAAAAATTGAAATATTTCAAATATTAAAATAATTTTTCAAGTCTAATCTTGTAATTTTGTAAATTTTTTTTTTCGAATTATAAATGAAATCAGGGAAACATAATAAAATCAATAAAACTAATTTTGAGAAACAAACCTTAAAACGTACTTTAAAAACATAAAAATAATGAAATATTTTCAGGGAGTTTTTTCGCATTAACTGGATTAGTTATAGGTATTATTATCAATATTATTTTTGTTTTTACATTTATTATTATTATTATTATTATTATTATTATTATTATTATTATTATTATTATTATTATTATTATTATTGTTATCATCATAATCAATATTATTATATAATCTGTAACATACGAATTTTAACGCTTTATTCAACAAAACATTTGCATTTAAAAAAAATATCATAGAAATAATCATTTTTTTATTATTTTCATTATCTCCATTTTTCTTACATTTTTAACTTTAATTAGGGTAGACTTTGTTTTTTCAATCTTTTAAATATTGTCATTGCNTTATTATTATTATCATTATTATTATTATTATTATTATTATTATTATTATTATTATTATTACTATTACTATAACTATCATTATTGTAATAATCCCAGGACTATGCTCTGTATTTTTGGATCAGTATGATCTAGATTTTGAACCTATTGGTGACCTGAATACTCTTGTTGAAGGGTTTAACCAGTTCTCAGGAGGAATCAGGTAAGCTGCTGATTCTCATACAAAAGTTACCACTCTTCACTAATTTTTGAAAAAAATTTTAGTATTGATATTTTTATGCTATCAAATTCATATTTCGAATACTTAAGATTGAATTCTCAAATACTTTGTTTTTAATCATAACTTCTCTTATTAAAGAACTATTGAGAATTATAAAAATGTTTTGAATATTTCTAATATTTTTATAAGTTTTCATTTCTTCTTCTTGTTTAAAACTCAAAACTAGATGCGCTACAAGGTTGTCTAACCAGAGCTGAAAACTTTATAATGGAATATCCATAATCCCGATTACTTAATCTGAGTATCCAATCTTAAACCGTTCTTTCTTGGATATAGTGGAGAAAAATCAAAAACCGGTTTTTTAAAATTAGAGAATTTCTGTTTCTGTATATTAATCTTAAATGGCGCGCAAAATTCCAAATTTATCGGCTACTTATATGCGACTCTGATTGGTTGAATTTTTTACACTTTTCAGGATACAAGTGCAAGATTTAGGTTAGCCTTGATATTACGAAAAAGAGAGGATCAAGCATTAATCTCAATATCCACCATTCTAAAGTTTTCAGCTCAGTATAAATGTCTAATTCATTTTTACCGCCCCTATAGTGTAATACCATCCTTCGTTTATTTTTCATAACTTTCCTAACTTTGATATATTTATGCTATCAAATGGTTACATATTCAGAACTTGTTTGTTACTTAAAGATGCTTTAGAAAGATATTATGATTGTAAGATATTAAAATACTAGACTTTTAGGGCGCTTCGCGCCCATCTTCTTTCTCAATTGTGAACATGTTCTTAATGTAACATTGAAAAATAAAGAAAAAAAAATTTCGCGGATTTTATAAAAAAGATTCGCGAATTTTCAAGATTTTATATTTTTTACAAAATTAGAAAGCTTTTCAACAAATTTTTTTAAAATTTTCATCATTCATAAAACTTCCCTAGGGTAATGGAGGGGAGGAAGGCCAACAACATCAATCTCTAGTCCGAACCACATTCTCCTCATTTTCTCTTCCAAACCACCTCGAAATCCTCGTCCTTTCAATATTATTTTTTTTAAGTGTCCGATCCTTGAAAATAAATACATTTTTTAAAAATATGGCGACGTTCTAGGTTAGACTGTAGCATGTTTTGTTTAGGAAGGTGGAGGAAGTTTTGAGAAATGTGATAAAAGAGTTTGATTTTGAGGTCACTTGTGAACATATTTATACCTCTATAGCATCAGGTATCATATTTACATTCATAGACCGTCATAAGTTTTTTGATATTTCTAAAGAAACTTCTTTTTATTTTTAATTCAAGGTAAATTAATAGCCCTGAAATATGAATGCAATTGATATATTAATATTAAACTCATTTCTACGCGGCATTTGATCTTAAATATGTAATACGACATTATACAAAACTCTTGCTATGTATTCATATATCTGGGTTTCACTGGAGGAAATAAATTTTTGCCACAAACTCTAATTTGTTCATCCCTATATCTATGAAAATCAATGTCGTAGAACCTTGATATTTGAAATTATGAATTCTGTTTATATCAAATAATGTAAGTATGAACTATTAAAGGGTTACACCTTCAGGTTTCAAAGATAAAGGGACTGTGCGGCAAACATTAAGTTCAAAAGAAAAATTAAACAATTTAAAAAAGAAACATTTTTATCAGTCGTGACTTGAAATTATGTCGACATTTTGGTTAAACAAATGACCAGATATTATTAACAGCGAGACATGGTTGAGCCACCAGACGTGGTTCAATTACTTCTCTTTGCTTGCACCGGTGCACGAGATAATTGGTTGGAACTGTACGTCTGCGCGGGTTAGCTTCTTCATTCATAAAATCTGACCCAAAAAGTAAAAATAATTATATTATGTTATCCTACCACCCGGCCACTAACATAAATTTCACCAGAAGGGGATCAATTCTTTGGTGTACCGTCCCGCTTTGCCGTGTACAGTCTTTATGTGCAAAGTACAGCTTGTTCTAGCTGCTTAAAAGTCGGCCCGGAGTTTACACGTACGCGCAACTCGCGTAACGTTGTACATAAGAAAACCAAATCAGACTGTTAGGAACGTCATACCCCCACACTCTAATCCCAAAATGAATGTACAGAGTCTATTTCAAACTTTCAGTTAAAAATGTCTGGAATTCTTGTATTAAACTCTTAATTAGAAAATTAATTAGCTTCAAGTTCCAAGTTCCAAATCTAAATTACAAAATATATTTGCAACAGTTTGCAAACATCTGTAAAAACATTCTGAACATTCTGAATTCTGGTTCTTGGCAGAGTTGTAAATAATTTAGGAAAAAATTGAAAACTTTTTTTCCGACAGAGAACGTTAGTAAATTAAGTTATTAGAAAAAAATAAAGAAAATAAGTTCTTTTAGGTTTTATTTAATCCTCTACAGACCACTTTTGTTTTTTAGGGACTCTGGCAGGAATATTTTTGAGCCTCGTTCCAGGTATTATTTTTAAAATATTTTTTCAAGTTGTGTTTTAAAAATTCTTAAATCTTAACCGAAAAAGGCAATATAAATTTTAATTAATATAAAATAGAAATTCCTAGAATATGTTTTTAGAATTAAAGTTAAAAAATTCTAAACCTAAATATCTGTTTAGGAGCCAGCTCTGCAGCAGCTATAGGGTCTAAAACTGCTATTTACACCGTTAAGGTAAAACTTTTTTACTTTTTTCAAAATAAAATCTTACTCCCCTTCCTCTCATTCCTTCCCCCCCCTTATCCTTCCATTCTTCCCCCTTCCTTCCCCTCATATCCTTCCATTCTTCCCCCTTCCTTCCCCCCATATCCTTCTATTCTTCCCCCTTCCTTCCCCCCATATCCTTCCATTCTTCCCCCCATCCTTCCATTCTTCCCTCCCCCATATCCTTCCATTCTTCCCCTTTCCTTCCCCATATCCCCCCAAATCGAGGAAAGTTTGGACACAAGTAAGGGTGATCAAGTTTTTGAAAACGTGCTTCTCTGCTTTGTAATCTGAGCCGGGAACTTTGAATTGCAGATTTCGAGATTAATTATTGATTTCGATCTTTTGTTAATCTCCAAATTTATTTAATCTTTATTTGATATATCGTATGGTATTCGCACCCCGGAGGAATAACTTAAATGAAGAGATTAAGAAGCATTAATCCTCAAATTGATCAAGTCTGCGGGATTATGAATATTCAACGCAAAAGTTCCTGCAGCTCAGTTTAAATTAGTTTTTCTAAATAATTGTTTTGAATTCAAACCCTCTAGTCTCGTGATCTGGACTGGCTAAAAAATTGCACTTCTTTTGCAAAATTCTAAACTCAAGAAAATGTTTTTAAAAAACGAGAGTTTAAATTTGCATTGATTCTAACTTTTCTCAGATCAAATGACATTCCTTTGGTGAGAAAGATTCAAGGGTTTAAATTTTTAGAAAAAAGTATCATTTACTCTCAGAAAACGCTCAAAGGCTTTTTAAACATAAATTTGAGCTACCTCCCTGAACTACCTAATGCCGGTTCAAATCTAAACCACCGATTCAAAGTTTAAGATTAAGCAAGAATTTAAATTGGTGATTAAAATTTGAACAGACGACGGTAGGCAGGTTAGCGACCCCCACAAACACATTAAATACGGTCTATGAAACATGAAGAACAACAATTACATGCACTGTGCAATGTGCAATGTGCAATGTGCACATGCAGCACAGACTCATTTCACGCTGTTAAGTTGATTTTTCAGCAATTGGTAAAATAATTTGCTATTTAACAATATCAAATACAAAAAATGATGAAATGTCGTCTTCATATTCCACAAATTTACGTGTCTTTCTGTATTCAGGTTGGAAGTGCTCTAAGTAAACTTGCAAAGTTGCTGAAGACGACAGCTAAAAAGCTGTGGGATATCCAGAAAATTATCAGACGTGTGACAAAGCTTACTTTTGGAGCTTTCAAAACTTTTACCGTTGGTAATTAATATTTTAATAACATTTTTTTTCTTGTATTTTCGAAAACACATTGAATTGCATTTGCTAAAATATTTTCGATTTTATTGAGAAACTGGGTCTTCCCCAAATAATAATACTTTGGTAGGCAATTATATCAATATAATGAAGATAACTTTTGATTTAAATTTTGAATTATGAAGCTATCTAACAGCATGGATACACAAAAACAAAGCTGTCGATTAAAAAAGCTTCTCTTTAATTACTTGTAAACTTGTAATTCGAAAAAGCTTGTTAACAATTATGATTAAATAGGTCGTCTTCATTAAATGGATATAATCGCCTACCACCATACCAAAATATTGACTAATTAAGAAACAAAAAAAAACACTTTTACAACTAATATGATGAAGCTAATATTTAAGTTTTTTGTTGCAACTTTCAAAGAAGGATTGCAACTTTCTAAATTAAAAAGAATTGAGTCATTCCACAAACTTAAATAGTGTAAACCTTTGATATTTCAAATTTAGATGATTTGATCTGACAGAATTCTAGTTTAAAACTTAACATCATATGTTTACGATATCAGATGGAAAAAGAAGGGATTTGAAAATAAGAATTTTCCGCAAACAACCTTTTAGATAAAAAGATGAGCATTTAGAAAAGTATTTTTTTTTTTTAAATTAATAAATTAATATATATTTTCATTTCTAGGATCTTCTTCCTTCACTCTTCTCAAACTTCTCCCGTTTCTTCCTCCAGTTGTCATAGGAAACAAATATTCAATTTGATAAACTAAAATAACTGATCACGCAATAAAACAATCTTGATATTAAAAGGACTGTAAGCGTAATTTCAAGTAACCCTTCATATAAATATGACAAAGCCCTTGAACACTCTGTTAAATCAAGTTTGAATTAGATATCCATGTTTTTGTGCATTTAAACTGTTTATTATCATTTCTGGTCTCTCTACCAAAGTGACAGTATTGCATATAAGAAACAATGGAGAAATTATCAGAGGAAAGAAAAAGAATAATCACATTAAGGATTCAATGGTAACGTTTTAGCTACGCTCGGTTTGATCGATAACTAGTTTAAATAACTACTTTATTAACTTGACTAAAAAACTATATAAATTTACTTTGGAAAATCATATATCTTAAATCAGGTGACGTGGCAGGAAATCCAAGAGCAGCTTGCCGCGTTCTAATATCCGGCTTCAGGTTGAATCGTCTTCCGCCACAACGTTATTTATTTTAAATAGATTCTATTACGTCATAAGTGTCAACTTAGTTTTTGTGTCCGAAAAAATTATTAAAAATAGTGATAATTTTAGGATAAAGTGTCTATCTTACAGAAAAAAGTGCAATTTTATGTGTTCTTTATTTTCTGTTTTTACACTTTTTTATTTAATCTTGGAAAACATGTCAACTAATGTGAGAAAACTTCGTTTTTCTTGTTATATTTGTCACTGGTAAGTGGTGACGTCGTGTATAATAGGTCCATTTCTCTGTTGCCACCTAATATAATTTGTACTGGATAATCTACTTGGGACATTGCTATCTTTGCATAGAGGTTGACTTAATATTACGCTTACAGCAGGCGCGCAACTAGAGTTTTTGAAGGAAATATTTGGCGCGAAGCGCGAAATGTTTTTTTGCCCCCCCCCCTAAACTTTTTTTTTTTTTTAATCTGACACATCACACAAGATTTGCGGTGAACATGTAAAATTAATTAAATAGTTGTACTACAGAATATCGATTGAACTATAAGCTCAATAGGAGCGTTCAATTAATATTTTTCTTATTTTACGATCAGCTCTTAAATTTTCTCAGGGTGGATTATCATTCCGCAAAAATTTCCAACTTTTTTCTATAATTTAAAAAAAATCTTTAGAAACTTTTTATATACGTACACCGTTGTAAAATTTAAGAATTTTTTTTGTTGAATTTTTCCAATTTTAATATTAAACACTGTATCTTAGAAGCCCTTTTGATAATAGAAGAAAACAAATTTCTAAGAATATCTCTTTAAAAGAAAAATTATATTTTTAGAATGCTTCCAAAAACACATTATACAGTAGAGTTTTGTTCAGTATACAGAGGCGAGTTTTGTTCGCTTGAAATCGACTAATTTGTATTTTCATTTAAAGGGACTGTCCTTGTATTTTCATTTAAAGGGACTGTCCTTGTATTTTCATTTAAAGGGACTGTCCTTGTATTTTCATTTAAAGAGAATGTCCTTATATTTTCATTTGAATGGAATGTCCTTGTATTTTCATTTAAAGGGACTGTCTTTGTATTTTCATTAAAAGGGACGCTGGGTTTATAGGTTCTCAAATTCAAAAAGATCTGGAACTGACGACATTTGTGCGAATTTAAATATTCTGTTGTGGTGCGTGGAGAGCCTATCTTATATTTGTATTAATCAATTCAACACAATTTTAGACATCAAAACCAATTTTAAAATATGTTATACATAAACACATGCGCATTGTCGTTTTCTTTCAAATTATCAAACAATCATAGACATAGATCATTTTTAATATGTTTGTCCATTTAAAATACTTTAAAAGATATAATTGTCAAAACATTAGTTTTGATGTCTAAAATTGTTAAGATATGGTGTAAACACACACGATATTATTGTGATTAATTTTTTGATTGAATTAAAATAGAATTAAATATTTGTTTCTTGCCAGGGATTTATATCATTTTCTCAGCTTTCTGGCCTCAAAGAATTCTTTTCTTCTCCGCTAAACAAAGAAGAAAATTCATCAATGGACAGGTTAGTGGATTTCATCAATGGACAGGTTAGTGGAATTCATCAATGAACAGGTTAGTGGAATTCATCAATGGACAGGTAAGTGGAATTCATCAATGGACAGGTTAGTGGAATTCATCAATGGACAGGTTAGTGGAATTCATCATGGACAGGTTAGTGGAATTCATCAATGGGCAGGTTAGTGGAATTCATCAATGGGCAGGTTAGTGGAATTTATCAATGGACAGGTTAGTGGAATTCATCAATGAACAGGTTAGTGGAATTCATCAATGGACAGGTTAGTGGAAGTCATCAATGGGCAGGTTAGTGGAATTCATCAATGGACAGGTTAGTGGAAGTCATCAATGGGCAGGTTAGTGGAATTCATCAATGGGCAGGTTAGTGGAATTTATCAATGGACAGGTTAGTGGATTTCATCAATGGACAGGTTAGTGGAAGTCATCAATGGACATGTTAGTGGAAGGGAGTGGAATGAGAGGGGNGACCTTTTATAGTTTCTAATATTAAAATTAGACCTTTTATAGTTTCTAATATTAAAATTAGACCTTTTATAGTTTCTAATATTAAAATTAGACCTTTTATAGTTTCTAATATTAAAATTAGACCTTTTATAGTTTCTAATATTAAAATTAGACCTTTTATAGTTTCTAATATTAAAATTAGACCTTTTATAGTTTCTAATATTAAAATTAGACCTTTTATGGTTTCTAATAAAAACATTAGACATTTATTTAGTTTCTAATAATAAAATTAGACATTTTTACAGTTTCTAAAAATAATAATAGACATTTTTCTAATTTATAATAATAAAATTACACAATTTTACCGTTTATAATAGAAATGTATAAAGACATTTCTTCAGTTTCTTATAAAAACATTAGACATTTTATAGTTTCTAATAACACTACACATTTCTACAGTTTCTAATAAAAAGATTAGACATTGTGTAGTTTCTAATAATAAAAATAGACATTTTTCTAGTTTCTGGGTTGGTTATTGGCAATCGTTCTTCTAGTTCTAGCGCTGTCAATAAATACTGCATTAGGTTAGTATAGAATATATATTTAATCAGGCCCGCAACCAGGATTTTTCCAAGGGGGGTGCAAAGAAGCGCGCCGCAGGTGAAAATTTCTTTTTGTTTTTTTTAAAAAGCAATGCTTGGTTTGTTTTTACGGTGGTATTGGGTTTTCTTTATTACATTGCCAATGTACGCATAAAGCCTAACCTTTTTAACAAGTGTATTTAAGCTTTTAAGGGTTACATTTTAGTGTCTGAAACTTTTCAGTTTACATATACAATATACATAAAAAATAAATGAATGGTACTTTAGCTTAAGGAAAAAATTCATTATTTAAAATCAAGGCTTCTTGTCCCTCGGCCTCATCATGATATTATGAAGATTAATAAAAAATAACAAATTTTAATATTTTGTTTAAAAGAGTGACATTGAGACATTCAGGATGTCCAGGATGAGTTGACTTGACAGAGTACACCTACGCACACAAACACACACACACTTTTAATGAGTAACACACAATAAGATTATAATTTGGTTTGGGAAGGAAATCAACTCTTGCTTGAGCTATATTATTGGTAACTAGATTTTAGAAAATTATGAGAAACAATTTCTTTTATATGGGACTATGGGAGGGGGGTGCAAATTCGTCATTGCACCCCCCTTTCAGAAGAAAGGGGGTGCACCTGCACCCTTGCACCCCCCCTGGTTACGGGCCTGTATTTAATACATTGAGAACCTGAAAACTCTGGAATAAATGTCGTCTATGTCTGAAAATGTTTAAGGGAATTTTTTTTTGAACTTTCGGTTGTAAATTACAAATATTCTGCGACATTCATGCAATGGAAACAGACCTAGAGGAATGTGACCTAAATTGTATTCGACCTGTTTATCGAGTAGTTTAAAATAAAATTTCGAGTAGCTTTCACTCACCGTGCGAATTTACTGAACTAAATCTGTAGCAAATATCGTAGAAATCCCTATATTCATGAACTTTAACATACCTAGATACATTATGTTGTATACATTGTCTGTAAATCTAAATGCACTTGTTAATATCTACGCAAATCTTGTAACATTTTGCTCGTAATTTAGAACAAAGTGTTCATAAATTAAAAGTTCAACATCAAGAATAAAATATTACTTACATTTCAGTGGACGAACTTGTACGCGTGTTCGATGACGCTCTTCCCTTGGTGAAGGTTCATCTACTGAAGCGCCTTGGGTGGAAGCTCTCACTTGCCGCGTCATCTTTTGCAATAGCGTCGTCTTTGTTTTTCTTCATGGCGTTCTTGATTCTAAAAATAAAGACGGATAAAAACCATGATAATTTAACCAACGAGGAGGAGGATTGGAGACAAGAATTAGGAAAACAAAGTTTTGAATATACACAAAGGGACTGTTGACTAAATTTCAAGTGACCATATATGCAAGCCTGGTTAGATATTTTTTGTTCTGAGGAAAAATGAATAAAATATTTTTTTAATTGGTTTAATTGATATTGACTTGGGGATATATGCAGCAAAAACAAAACAGGAAGTTATCAGAATTAAATACTTTTACAGATAGAAAAACAACGTTATCCTCTTCATTGTCTAAAAAGGTGTAAATGGTAACATTGTGAATCGGACATGTAACATTCTAATGGGGGGGGGGGGGGCCACATGAAAACATATCTACAGAATTCTTTAAGCATAAACTTAAACTTGTTGTACAGAAAAGAGACACTTGGTTTCATTTTCAACTCCTTTTGGTCCAAAAATAGAGAAGAAAAATATGATAAGGTAAATATCGATTTTTTCCCGCTTATTTTTCTACATTTTTTGATGAGCTTAAATGCTAAATCACTTTGAATTTTTCACATTTGTCAATACAATTTATTAGATATTCATATACATAATTTATTTTGTGTGCATAAATGCACATTTATTGTCTTTTTAAAGGGAGTGTTCGCGAAAAATGAAAGGGGGTATAGAAAAATAATCGCTTTTGATCACTACTAATCTTATTTCCATCTGTTATGTCTATAAGGAGAAAATTGTTAAAAACGACTTATACCGAATAATGTAGAGTCCATACAAATTGAGAAAGTTGCAACAAACGACTGAGAGCTTAAAAAAATTAATTTAATATTATCGATCATCGATTTTTTTTCGGCGCATTCTTATTAAGTTGATATTTCATAATTCTTTTTATTTGTTTTACATCCAACGCACCTGAAACAACGATTTATTTCCGCTAGGTGTCTCTGCCACGTGGAATCATTAAGAGCATCGAGAGCAGAGACACCTGGCGGACAAACTAATTGGCGTTTATCAAGGGTTCCATCAAAACATTTCAGTCAATTCGGTCTATCTGTTTGGCCAGCCATAGTAAAAATAAATACATACATGTATATATATATTAACTATAGCTGGCTTATTGGCCCTGGGGGGTGACAATTCACAATTTGAAATTTCCATTAAAATCTTTTTTTTCTCATCCTGTTTCAAACTTGTTATAGATACAAGAAGGAGAGGATCGGACCCTGGACCTGGATCCTACCAATTGTACTGTGTACAATAGCTTGTGGGTTCAGCGTGCTGGCCAACCTGTATCCTAAAATAGATATGTACAGGTCAATATATCCTAAAATAGATATGTACAGATCAATATATCCTAACATAGATATGTACAGGTCAATATATCCTAAAATAGATATATACAGGTGAATTTATCCTAAAAAAAATATGAACTGTTTTTTTCAGGACTTGTAATCTGTAAATTGTAATCTGAAAAAAATCTAATAAGTTACTTTTTTGTACGGTACAGTTCAGTACAGTACAGTACAATACACAGTGCATGTTAGTGCAGCACAACTGTATAAGATGGTACATTTTGGTTCTGTACAGTTCACTAGGGCTGGGCAAAGTTCCGTCAATGAAACGGAGGTTTTGCAAAAATAAACGGAAGAGTCCATTAATAAGACATTGTTTGCCGCTTTGCGTTGTTAACGCTATTAATTTTGTATTAACAGTACCGTAAAAAGCTGGAGCAATTAACGGATGTTAAAAATTTTCCATGAACGATGTTAACAAAATTGAGAGTAACTTTAACGAACGAAGTTTCGTTCTTACCCTCAAAAACTAACTGCGATTTTATTTAAAAAACGTTTGGAACTAACCATTAACAAAACAGCTTGAAAAAGTTGAAATGTGCCCAGCCCTACAATACAGTAGGGTACTTTGGGGCTACAGAACCTTACTGTACCGTACAGTATGATAAATTAAGGTGCAGTACGGTTTAGTACGGTGTTGTACGATACAGCACGGTATAATACTATACAGAACGGTGTTGTACGTTACAGCGCGGTGTTTTACGGTACAGTACGGTACAGTAATGTACAATTAAATGATCAGACAATATATTATTTTTATGAAACGTTTCTCATCAATATTATGTAGAAAAAAATGGCAGAAATTAAAATTACGTTTACACGTTTATAAAATTCTCTATTTAATCTTTTATTTTAGAGAACCTAAGGGAACCTTTGGACGGACCATTGATGCAATATTCTCTAAAATAAGTTTGTATGAAGGTGAAAAACTTGAAAATTTTATTGAAAAAAAAGTGAGTTTCATAATAATGATAAATCTCGTGAACTGATTTTCTCTATTTTGAGAATGAATTGGACAATTTAACTCTCGTTTCTACATTGTAAAATTTAAATGCATATATGAAAATTCAAATATAAAAATTAGTTTCCAAATTTCTAATATCTTATGTATTTGTTTGAAATAAGATTTTGCGTTTAATAATTATAACATATAATCAAACTAGGTTCGGATTCGGAAAATACTTAGTTTTTTTCTAATCCTAGATATTAAAAATTGTTAAAAAGTTAAAATATGTGAAATATGATGAAAACAAAACCTAGCAAAAAAGGCAAAAAATTTCAAAGTTAACATAAGCAGTTTTTAATGTAGGTTATTATACTAAATAACCACGTTTAAGCAAAAGTTATGCTTTTACTTTACGGAGATTAAATATCGTCTTTATATTGTCTTGTTTAGCTAGATACACAGTAAAATATCTATAAAATTAAATATTCAACTGCTTGACGGATTCAAAAGTGTAAGTGACTTTCTAAAGTTGGCAAAATGTTCATTGTTTTTTTTAAAAAAAGCTCGCAGATAGGTATACATTGCCAAAAAACAGCTAATTCTAGAAGAGACATCCACAAATAAAACAAAATTAATAGTTAAAAAAAGTTTTAAACCAAAATTATACTACAAAAATGTAAACGTTTTAAAAGGGACTGAAAATGGTGAATGGGAACATCTGATTAGCATGGCAACCCCCCCCCCTCCTCCCCTTCCTCACTCCCGAGAAAGAATGAAAAACTTCAAAGTTAATTTAATAAAATTGTAATGATACCATCATGATTTTTACTGCTTGTTTCTAAGCAGTCCGCATTTTCAGGTTTGACAGATGTATTTTCGCCATCATCCCAAGAGTTTTAATAGTTCGAAAGGTCTTCCGACTTTTATGTGTTCTTTGTGTGTAGGGGGAGTCCGATTGTCATCATTATCACTCGCATGCCGGAAGCAAGCAGCAACTAATCTTCGTTCTAATCCTTTGAAATTCAACTTAAACTAGTGTGTCTGCAATATTTGTAAACTAACCCCCATACATTAGTACAGAGTGCAAAGATACCTGACGCAACTCTTTAACTCCAATTTACTGTATGTCACTATCTAATACCATAGCTAAATTGCCATTTCAGTATTGAGCTGAAACCCTCCGGTATGGTGAAGACGACATATTTTAGCTAGACAACTAATATTTGTTAATTGTAGTGCTAACTGCTAAGGATCTAAGGATTCATTTCATTTTGTTGTGGATTCGGATCCGGATCCCGGATACGCCCAGATCATGAATAGTTTTTAAGATTCACTGAATATTTAACAAAAGAAGATTTTTTCGTATTTTTTTCGTTAGTGTTCATGCTAAAACTCGATGAATCAATCAGAGATAAGGAAAATTTTAATAAGCTCTCTTTTTTTGAACAGTTAAGATTTGGGATTTTGAGAGCATAGTTTTTTTTGCAGTATTTTGTTGATATTTTACCCCTTGGATCCATATATTTTTTTGGATTCAGAAATCCATAATGTTGCGGATTCAACGGATCCGGATCCAAAGCACTATTTTAATGGGACACACTGTATCTAGACGAGATGACCCGAGTTCGTGAATATGGAGAGAGAGAATGCCTCCCCTGGCAGACCCTGGGGGACGTGTTCTCCGAGACCCTGCAGCAGAGGAGCAACATCCTCATGAACCCCATCAATACCTTCTTCAACAGGACAGAGAACCTTTTCAGACCATTGAAACAGGTTTTCTATCTTTATAGCTATTTATCTATCTATCTGTCTATCTATATATCTATCTATCTATCTATCTATCTATCAACACCCTATGGTAGAAAAGTTTAAGCCAATTACTTTTCTAAAAGTAATTTTTCTTGAAAGTGTCCAAAAAGAAGAAAAGATACAAGAGCAGTGAGCCTTCAAACCATCCGACTTATATGTTAACTATAATATTGTAAAATTATTAGATTATATTTTGTTATGTTGTTTGTTGTGTTTCTTAGTTTTATAGTTTTTTTATTATTACTTTTATCTTTTAATTCTTTTAAATTTTAATTCTTAAACATTTATTATTCAAGTTTCTTATTTTGTATGTTTTTTAGAATATGCCCTGAAGATGGTTAAATAAACCGAAAATTTGGCAAAAAGAGTTTTTGTTTCACGGATCTGAGAGTGTTAGATTTAGAAGAATTGTATCTATCTATCTATCTATCTATCTATCTATCTATCTATCTATCTATCTATCTATCTATCTATCTATCTATCTATCTATCTATCTATCTATCTATCTATCTATCTATCTATCTATCTATCTATCTATCTATCTATCTATCTATCTATCTATCTATCTATCTATCTATCTATCTATCTATCTATCTATCTATCTATCTATCTATCTATCTATCTATCTATCTATCTATCTATCTATCTATCTATCTATCTATCTATCTATCTATCTATCTATCTACCTATCTTTATATCCATCTATCTATCTATATCTATCCATCTATCTATCTATCTAATTATCCATCTATCTATCTACCTATCTATATCTATTTATCTATCTATCTATCTATCTATCTATCTATCTATCTATCTATCTATCTATCTATCTATCTATCAAGTATATGACCCTCAATTTCTAAAATTTACAACTTTTGCTCTTTAACCTAATCATTTAACTTTAATCATTATTGGTACTAATATATATATACTAAGTTACATAGTACTAATATATTTTTTTATTTACTTTTCGTATGCACGCTTCATTTTTAATATTTTATTAAATCTTATTTTTATCTTTCTTTCTTCAGATAATTACGAGAACAAGAAAACAGCTGATTGCTGATCTTGGTGATGATCTATTTGGCGAGGAGGTCCTTAACTCTATTGACACTTTGAAACTTCTAGGTTAGTTGTAAATCATGGGTTTCGAATATTTATATGGGGGGTTTGGAGTCAGATCTGAGGCTCACATTCCACATTCACAAGATTCTGAGATGCTTTTCACATTCTTTTTTTATAATTACATCACAATAGGATTGTTTGCCTATAACAACAACGGTAGGGTTCGCAGTGAAACAGGGAAATCGTTTCGCGAAATTTCGCTTTTATCTGTTTCGCGAAAAAATGCAAAGTTCTCGCAGAAATAAATAAAAATATCGTAAAAAGTTTGCGAAATATGAAATTTTTTGCACTTTTCATATTTTTTCTTGAAGGTTTTATTCGCTGGAAACCCTAAACAGTTTTCCTTCGCTGGAAACCAGTTGGCGGATTTTTTTTCTGTCAAAATATATTATCTAAAGCGACCTAACCAATAGTTTAAATTTGATGTTTTCGCTGATTATATGTAAGACAATATTTTTATAGAGCCTCTTAAAAGTATAAAATCTTAAATTTTAAATACTGACCAATTGTAACTATTTTTGATATTTTGAATGCCTTTTTGCGTCACGTGGCAGAATTTTAAACTGAAAATTTTGAATATTTAAAACCATTTGGATTGAATTCTGAATTTGGGGAAAAAATCCTAATATCACCGTAAGTTTCTGAGAAACACACATGATAAAGTGCTTTTTGAATTCCCAGAACTCAAGATTTATGAATATGATTTTCACAATTTTTTCCTTTATCTTTGCAACTCAATATTGTAGAATTGGAACTAGGAATTCTGTTAGATCAAATAATCTAAGTTGAAAAATGTCAAAGGCTTACATCATCAGGTTGCAAAGATATAGGGATATGAAAATTAATTCTTTTACACTGATATACAATTTGCACCAATTTTAAGGACCCTAGAGCCATGTACGGGTGTCACTGAAAAAAAGCTTTTTTAAAACTTTGTTTATTTGTACTAAAAAGGAACTAAATATTTTCGAATATTAGGCTTATTTTTCAAGGTTAAAACAGCATTTTAGTGCAACATATTTTATCGACGATCTCTCCATTTCTGGGCATGCAATCATTTTTAGTAGAATAAAACGACGTTTAGCTTAAACCCGCTTTTTAAAAAGACACCATTAGACATTAGTTAAAAATAGATATGAAAAGCCCTTGGTTTAAACTATTGTTTTTTAAGAATTAATTTCAGGGATAAATGTCAGTGTGTCAGAGTTTGCAACTTTTGGATCAAATTGTGCAGTATGGAATTTTTATATTTAGATTATTTTTGGCGTTTTTCGTTCAAATTTTTTTAGATCTAAGGTATCTCGGCATGCTCCTGTTGATTCCTCGCCTCATTAATCTCAGCATTCTCATTTTCGGCATGCTCACCATGTCTGTAGCAACATGCAGGTATACTGTAAGAGTTAGCTTGAAATTGTGAACTGATGGTTAGGAATTTTTCATAAATTTTATATCCATACTGGCTGAGTGCCCGGCGTTGCCCGTTGAATTTTGAAAAAAATCAACTTTTGAAGAAAAATTTTTTTAGCCTATGTTATCCAAGGGTATTTATACTAACCATACTCTTATTACTATTTACAACTTACACAGGGAAGTTAAGGGCATTTTACTTTACCAAGGGTTCCTCAGAACAATTTTGCCTGGAAAAATTGGTCGGAGGAACCCGCAGTTAAGTCAAATTTTTGATTTACCGATTAAGTAGTTGTACAGTGTACACGATTTTATCGTCTTCTGAGATGAAAATGCGCAAACTTTTCAACATGAAAACCTGACATAGCGGGTCTTTTTTTACTTAATTGCCACAAGGGACGTAAAGTAATTTAACGTCCCTCTATTGGGGTATCATGGTTCGGTAACAGGGGCGTATTCAGAAATTTGTCCAGGGGGCTTACATTTTTNAATCTGATTTTACTGGTCCAAGGGGGGGGGGGGCTTAGCCCACATATACCCCCACTGAATACGCCTTTGTTCGGTAATATTGGTAAAAAGAGGATAAAATATATTTCTGTTTAAGGATGATAATTTGTGAAGCCGTTGAACCCAAGAAGCTGGTTGATGCGTTCGGGGCAGTCACAACATTTTCAGTCGTCTTCGTTTTGGGAACTCAGTTGGCGCTTTTCAATGTTCTGGAGGATTTTGGGATACCGTTCTACAGGGATTTTCTTCTTTAATTATAAATTAAATTAAATTATAAAAGCAGTGCTTAGGATCCAGATCCGTTGGGTCCGCAACATTTTGACTTCCTGGATCCAGAACTATTTTTCTAAATGCAAATCCAGAACCTGGATCCACATTAAAATTGGATCCTAAGCACTGCAGAAAAGAGTTTAATCAATAGATTGATTTATAAGCGTGAGATCAATATTCAAGAACTATAATAAGAAGAATGTTGATTTAGAATAACTGTTCGGTTTGGTTTGGGTTTTATATATGATCTTGTTTGTGATGCAATCATGATCTCAATATATATAGGTAATTATATCATATCTACTATATATATATTTCTCATCTATTTTTCTTATATTTCAGCTATTTCTAAGACGTCATCAATTAATGTTATTCTGGGTTATTTAGAATATATGACTTTACTTAATTAAATTTGATTTTACGTGACCTTTCTTTTGAAAGATTGGTATATGTCTGATTCACAACGGTACCCGTCCATTTAAGGATATCAATGAGGAAAAAAGTTATTAATTCTGTAAAATTTCTTCATTGTTTCCATGGAGATGTAAAATTGAAAATGTTTGATTTTCATCCAACAGAAGTGAGGATATCTCATTCCCTCCTTATGCAGGAAATATTTTAAAGAGTTATGTCCCTTATGCAGGAAAATTTTAAAGATTAATGTCCCTTATGCAGGAAATATTTTAAAGAGTAATGTCCCTTTTTTTTAAAGGGGAGTCACTTTGAATGACGTGTACAGTCCCTTTGAGCTGTAATTGTTGGATACTAAAATGTACTCTATTAAAGTAATCAACCATTTGATATCCCTTCTCCCCCAGACTGCCGCAAAAAAACACTATAATTTTTAATGAATATATCTTTTAAATTAACGCAGGTTGAGCATAAATAAATCCCGGCGCTGCATGCAGGTTCAGTAACTCCTGCCGTTTAACTGCACTTGGTAGATTTTACCGGGAACCTAAATTTTTTCTTTAAAATTTGAACAACTCAATTTGGAATCTCAAAATCATACTTATAATTTTTCTGTGGTTCTCCCGAGTACTCGAATCAAAATTTGAGACAAATCGGTCAAGGGGTTCCTGAGTTATAATCGGACTAACAAACAGAATGACAAACAGAGAATACAACTTTTCATTTATAATATATATAATATATATGTATGTGACAATTTACATCATATTCTTTCTTTCGCTATAAAAATCGCAAAAAAGTTGTAATTTTCAAAAAATGTCATCTGCGTCAATTACAATTGCCAATGTTCCTCTCAAAATTGAATAATTCAAAGAAAGAAGAAAGACGACAATGATTTCACAGTTTACTTGTTACATACAGTTTAATCCAGTACTTCGGAGACATCGAAAGAATTTATAAAATGTCGTTTTCTAAACCTGCTGATAATCGAATGCTGGAGATAATCAGTTTTCTAATTGAATAATTATATCCCGCATATTTCATGGCTATTTATTTATCTCTACAATTACCGAGATTCAGGTATAAAAGCATAAAACCCATTAAAAAATTGTCAAGACGACATTTTATAAACTCGATCGATGTCTTCAAAGTTCTGGGTTAAACTGTAGCAAAAACTATTATTTCAGGAATGAAGAATGAATTTTTCTTTGCAATTCCTAAACGTAAAGTGACAATCACCTATTCCGTCCCTGGAGTCTCAGATGAAGGACCTAATATCCGGGGACAAGTCATCTAGGAAGTCAATTGGTGGACTTAAATGACAAGTCATTTAGGAAGTCAATTGGTGGACTTAAATGACAAGTCATTTAGGAAGTCAATTGGTGGACTTAAATGATAAGTCATTTAGGAAGTCAATTGGTGGACTTAAATGACAAGTCATCAAGGAAGTTAATTGGTGGACTTAAATGACAAGTCATTTAGGAAGTCAATTGGTGGACTTAAATGACAAGTCATCTAGGAAGTTAATTGGTGGACTTAAAGGACAAATCATTTAGGAAGTCAATTGGTGGACTTAAAGAACAAGCCATTTAGGACTTAAAGGGACTGCAGATGTTATTTCAAGTGACTCTCCATCTGTAGATTGGTTTGTCCGATTTATAATGGTACCCTTCAAAGCTTTGTATGAGCTATCCGTGCTTGCTGCATAAAATCCCGAAGTCACATAACATAACTAAATTTTTGTTTAAAACATGAATATAATTTTTACAAGGAAAACCGTACGAATTTTGAACTTTGGGAAATAACGTGAACAGTCCCCTTAAAGATTAAAGATTAAAGATTTAAAGTTTGGTGTTGATATAGAGTAAATAAAGTAGATGTTTATTCCATATCTGATTGAAAATATAATTCGATCTGGGTTAACAGTCGTCAGTTCTAATTATATAATAACCATCAAAATCAATATTAAAAAAAATGTTCAAAAATAACAATAAATTCAGATAGAAAAATGGAAACTATTATCCAGATTATGGTATGGAAAAATAGAAACTATTATCCAGATTATGATATGGAAAAATGGAAACTATTATCCAGATTATGATATGGAAAAATGGTAACTATGATCCAGATTATGATATGGAAAAATAGAAACTATTATCCAGATTATGATATGGAAAAATGAAAACTATGATCCAGATTATGATAAGGAAAAATAGAAACTATTACCCAGATTATGATATGGAAAAATGGAAACTGTGATCTAGATTATGATAAGGAAAAAAACAAACTATTATCCAGATTATGATATGGAAAAATGGAAAATATAATCCAGATTATGATATGGAAAAATAGAAACTATTATCCAGATTATGATATGGAAAAATAGAAACTATTATTCAGATTATGATATGGAAAAATAGAAACTATTATTCAGATTATGATATGGAAAAATAGAAACTATACCAGATTCTGATATGGAAAAATAGAAACTATTATCCAGATTATGATATGGAAAAATAGAAACTATTATCCAGATTATGATATGGAAAAATAGAAACTATTATCCAGATTCTGATATGGAAAAATGATAGTTTAAAATATTTACTTTTAAAAGGATTTTCTAGGACAATTATTATTCCTTGAGATTGTTTGAAGTTGATGAAGTTTGAAAACAAAATTACATGTCTGAGAATAGAGTTGTGGTTGGGGTCGATCTAATAAACGAACTTGTACGGACATTGGGGTTGGAATGAAGATTTAATTTTCCCTTATGGTTGAGTGACTTGTGAATTTTATGCAGCAGAGACAAAATTGGAAATTGTAAGAATTGAGTACTTTAAACTGTACCTTTGTGAATCGATGATTCAAAACAAGTCAACATTTTCTTAGAAATAGGATTCTAGATTCGAATTTGGTAATAAAAAATAATTTTAAAGTTGAACCACTTAATTAATATAATTTATTTAATAATTACCTTTTTTGTTTTGAGATTTAATCACTTTAATTGCAACTAATATGAAATGCTGTTGAAAACATCTCTAAATTATAATTGAACCAAAAAATATTTGTACCTAATCAAAACAAAACTTTTGTTGCCTTAATAAAACGCTTACACTTTTTTATGAATTATGATTTAATTTTCAAGTTTTGATATTTTTATTCAGATAATGTTTTGTTATCTAATATTTTTACGAATGCACTTATGTAAAAATACGATTAAGATCTAGTACCAAATATGTATTTAATTGATGTAAAATTGTGATAAATAATGCAAATAAATAACTTCAAATATTTTAAATGTTTCGTAAGAGAAAAGAGAACATAGAACTGAGATTAGAGAACAAAAATCAGCCATTAAAGGACAAAGAACAGAGATTACAGGACAAATAATAGAGAATGGAGGACGAAGAATAGAAATTAGAGAACAAAAATTATAAGTTAAAGGACAAATAATAGAGATTAGAGGACAAAGAAGAGAAATTTGAGGACAACAAATAGAGATAAAAGGACAAAGAATAGAAGTTAAAAGACAAAGAATTGATATTAGAGGACAAAGAATGGAGATTAAAGGACAAAGAATAGAGATTAGATGACAAAGAATGGAGATTAGAAGATCAAAGACAAAGAGATTAGAGGAAATAGATATAGAGTTTAGAGGATAAAGATATAGAGATTAGAGGACAAAAATATAGAGATTAGAGGACAAAGAACAGAGATTAGAGGACAAAGAACAGAGATTAGAGGACAACGAACAGAGATTAGAGGACAACGAACAGCCATTAGGGAAGATTAGAAGACAAAGAATATTAATAACATGGCGAATGTAGATTAAAGAGGACACAATGGAATAGAAACTGTTAAAGAAGATTAACGAAATTTAAACAATTGAGAAAATACGAAAACAAAATTGCTTGGTAGGGTTTTAGGTTGAGAGGGTTTAGGGGGTTAGGGTGGTGTGAGTTTGTGGGATGGGGGGGGGGGGTTACGAAGATACAAGACATACACCTGTTAAAGTAAACATCTGCTCTAACTCACAAAATCATATTTTACGTCAGTTCTATTTCTATCTGAAATTTCGAAAGAAAAAAAATATTTTCATGAAAACACTACACAAAAATAACAAAGTATTATTTTGTTACTTTTTAAGAAAAGTTCTGGCGGGATAACGTTCGTATAGAACTTTAAAAAAATGGCCAGACTGTCAGGTGTTAAAGTAAGTAGAGAAATAATACAATATTTAAATAAAAACAGCAATTTTCAAATTTTTGATAGTATATTAATTTCTTATGCGAATAAATTTTCTTTATATAACCTATCCATACTGTAAAGAATTTTCAAAAGTTTTGACAACACAGTTTTCTTTAGAGGGACATTTGATCTTAACCGGTTGTAATAATAAATAAAAATTTTTCAACCCTGACTTATAAATATTATATTTTCAGTGTTTCCAACTTGTAAGCCTAGTTTGTATATTTATCATCATCTATCTGATAGGGACAGAAACAAACATAATCAAAAATAATCCCTCAATCACGTTTTGGAACCAAAGAGAATAGAATATATATTAGAGGGGAATTTACTAGAAAAAAGTGTAAAACGGCCATTTTGTTGTATTGTTTCCAAACTCCAGGTGTACTTCACATATTTATGCTATTTAACCTTTTGGGCCCTGGAACATCATTTAATAGAAAATCTAAAATTAATGTTAAAAGAAAACCAAATTATGACATAGGCTGGTTTCATAATTGACCAATGATCATTTCACAAAGACTCTATGCCTTTTACTTTACAAACGATGATTTTCCGTTATAACTATAAATAAAATGATGGTTTTTATTCACCTAATTCATTATAAAGTTTATTAAACAGCTTTAAAAAATTCGAAATTGAAATGGATAGTCTAGGGAACATACTGTATTAATGTACTCTACTGCATATAATTTGTGAACATTTACATGATTTGTACACTTTGAACTCTCTGAAAGGGACTGAAAAAAATCATACCGAGGGATTCTCTAAATTCCCCTCTAATATATATTATATTCTCTATGTTTGGAACATAAATGTCAAGGCTTGTCAAAATCTTAAATAAACTTAAAGGGCCTGTATAAGCTTGATTTCAAGTAAACTTCCATGGAATGATGACACTGTCCAACTTACAACGGTACCCTTGAAACCATTTCTGATCAATTATGTGGAAGATATTGTTGTTTTTCTAGGCGTAACATTGTTTAGTTCTGATGATTTCTAAATGCTTTCATCCAGAGGAAATACGAAAGCCACTTTAGTAGAGAAAAATAAAATGAAAAGAATAAATTCTTAAATTATAAATTGATATCTAAGTCATACTTGATTACACAAAGGTTTTAAGGATAACGTTGTAAATCGGGTAATTACATTTTTCACGGAGCACGAGCAGCCGGAGTACATTTGAATTTTCGAGCCGGGTCAACCTTTCTGGTCCCAGTTTGTACTATATTGCCGGACATTGGGTAAATAATATGACTAGCTGGTGCAACAAGGTTGACGCGGTCAGTCTTTAGGTTGAATTTACTTTTACTAAAGGGTCTGGGGTGCGTAGGAGGGTCACTTGTAATTACGCTTACTGTCCCTTTAAGAAGAATTGTAAAACATCCTTAATCTGTTTGTATCAGCAGCTAAAGAAAATCAAGATATACTGCGCATTATTAAACAAAATTCAAGGTAAGATAATATTCATTCAGATAAAGTTAATCGTATCCGATCTGGAACTATCACATGATTACAATAAAGGGAGTCGTCGCGAAAAATCAAGGTTGAACTATATTCAAAGGGAAACTTTAATTTACAGGGAAGCTCAAATAAAACAAAAATCTTAGTTAACTGAACAAACCTATAAAAACGTTATTTAAATGGAAAACTTTACTCAACGAAAACACTTTATTTAAATGGAAAACTTTATTCAAAGGAAGACTTTATTCAAAGGGAAAACTTTAACCAAAGGGAAAACTTTAACCAAAGCAAAACTATATTCAAAGGTAAAACTTTATTCAAAGAGAAACCATATTTTTTAATAGAGACATATTTTTATTAATTTTGTAAACAGTTTGAAGGCTGGATTAGAGCGTTAATCATAATTATTCTAGGGAAGAGATGAAAGAACTTCAGGTAGATGCTAAAAATATAATAATATTTTCATCTTTAAAAAATAATTATCTCTGAAAAACGTAGATTCAAGACCTACGTATTTGTAAACTTGACCCAAAATGATTCTGTACTGAAAACAGTGAAACCTATGAAGTTATGGTATAGGAAGACGACTTTTGTTCTTGCTATTTGTTTTGAATAGTCAAAGATAATTGACAGACCTATATTACTAGATAGGTTGATTTTCAAGAAATTTGTAAAATTATTTGCTTATAGCATCCTCAAATTCACATAAGATTGCTTTAATGTCGTCTTCCTATTCCACAGTTTTATGGACCCAATCATTAAAAGATTATATAAATTTTGTAACGGAGAGGCCCATTTAGGTAATTGAAATCTAATAGTAAGAACTGAATGTTCAGAAATCAAAACTTTTGTGGTGTAGATTTCCATTTTATGAAGATCTGCAGATTTATGCCGCCAATATATCCTTAGTTGGTCCCTGCAGGGATAATTTTAATTGAGGCATCAAGCATTACTTCTCAAATTCAAAAGTGTCAACATTGGATATCGATATTAAGAATTCAGCGTAAATTTAAGCTACCCGCCCTATCAATTCCTGGTTCACATCGGTACCCTTGAAACCTTTATTTGATCAATATAATAATTAATATAATAATTAATATAATAATTAACAACGTGGAAAATGTTGTCGTTTTTTTAGGTTCAATTCTAATAAAATGTTTTCCTGTAGTAGAAATGCGCACGAAACTTTCGAAGAAATTTTCCGTTTATTCAGTTTAGTTAACTCTTCTTTTCGTTCGCTAACAAATACAAAATTAACAATTTTTCCCGTATCAGTAGAATAACACCATGGCCTGGCAGTTTGAATTCTGTACAGCTTGCTCTAGATGCTGAAGAGTCGGCCCGGTACTTGAAATGAACCTTTACAGTGATCTGCTTACGGAATAAAGTTTTGCAACAAACCCCACTCTTCTAAACCCTACATCTGTGCAACCCAATAGACCTTTGATATTTCAAACTATAAATTCTGTTAGATCAACACTATCAGGTTGCGAAGATATTGTGGGAAGAACTCAATTCCTTTCTCAACATTTTCGTTCGCTTTTTAACTTTACCCATCTCTAGTTTGAGGGCTCGGCATGAAAAAATTCTAAATGCAAGTTCC